CACACACACTCTCACACACACACACACACACACACACACACACACACACACACACACACACACAAGACTGTAGCGAGAGGGTAAAGGTATATTTTGAGGATGAATAATTTCAGAGGAATTGGGTAGGCTGGATGGGCGGGGGAACAGAGTGGAACAACAGTAGGACGGGGTTATGAAGGTTGAAGGTGTTGTAGCCAGTACATTACGTCAACAATATTCTCGCTCCAAGTTCTCATTAGCTTAAGGAGATAAGTCTACTTAATCCATTAAATCTTTTCCCTAATTACAGGTAACATTCTTTCCATCCTAATTGGAGGAAGCTGAGCCGGGTGTAGTCCATTAATATTAGCAATCAAGAAGCGAGCAACCAGTTCACAGCCCCGCTCCTATGCCAGGTAAGTCTACTACGGGCTCACCATAGCCCGTGCTACTTGAAACTTTTTGTTCCTAGGAGCTGAATCTATAACAACAAGCGAGCAATCAACAGTATAATTTCCACAGTGATTCAGTTAACTTCAGTACAACCTTCTGATCTAGGGTTACAGAGTGTTGACCATTCCCTTTATTTTGCCCACCGTACAAAATCCAACCTCCTAATCGAACCGGGAAACGTACCAACCTAACCCACCCCACACACCTATCCGACCAATGCATAGAAAATGTAGATATTTTTAAGCCTTTACTTTTCATAGCAGGTGCCATTTGGTACGTTGGTTACCATAACGTACAAAACGCGACCTATTAGTCGAGAGGAAAAGGAAAAAAGCGGAGATATTAAAAGGTGTCCCGTAGTCATGGCAACCTCTCCCAGCTGACGCTCAATATAATTCCCAAAGTCGGGGACATGAAGCCTGTAATTAGGTTTATTTAAACCTCCGCTAACTATTGACCTTCACAATGTTGAAACCCCCACAACAGTTTCCTTAACTACTGCTGTTATAGATTCAGCTACTGGGAACAAAAAGTTCCAAGTAGCACGGACTATGGTGAGCCCGTAGTGGACTTACCTGGCACAGGAGCGGGGCTGTAACTGTGCCTTAACTGTTGTTGTTATAGATTCAGCTACTCGGAACAAGTTCCAAGTAGCACGGGCTATGGTGAGCCCGTAACTTACCTGGCACAGGAGCGGGGCATGTAGCACGGGCTATGGTGAGCCCGTAGTAGACTTACCTGGCACAGGAGCGGTGCTGAAAAGTGTGCCTTAACTCCCAGGTACATAAATTTATACTCCTGGGGGACACAGTCATCAGGTGAAAGAAAACGTGTCCACCCATTCACGTCCTAATGGGACCCCCCCCCCCTCCACAACCTACTTGTGGTAGGGACCTAGTTGCAACTAGGTGAATACACAATCGGGGGTCCCTTGATTGTGACCAGGACGAAGCCGGAGCCACCAGACAGCAACCGGACACTCCCCCCTTCTGTAAACACAAGCGCCGAACAAGTTCAGTTTGCATCGCTCCCTCTCTTCATTGTTTTCAGTACTGATCAACCAAAATAAAACTCCATTAACAACGTGGATACCGCTTGGTGTTACCAAAGTTTACTATAGGTATACAGCCGTGCGACTCCAACTTAGTTTACTGTAATTTAATAACAAACATGTAATAATAATATAATGTAATGTGTAATAATAATGTAATGTAATACTAATGTAATAAATTATATCTTGCAAAAATCCTCAAATTATGCTAAAATGTACTTGTGGATAACCCTTACATTTACTTTAATGTACCTACTTTTTTCTGTCAAATTTCTTATACAATGTATTTTTTATACTTTCTTGCAATGGATTCTTATACTTTCTTACGATGTACCTGTAAACATTTATTTTTTAATTTTGCTAGAAATTACCTTCTTAAAATTATATATGTTAGATTAAGGATCTGGCCAAAACGCTATGAGTGCTAGTGACTTTACAAGAATGTCGAACTTCAATACACACTGAAATCACAATTGCGTGATGCATCAAATGAACAAAATTTTACCATGTCGTAGTTCAGTCGATTAAGGCAGCGGCGTCTGGGATGCTCTCGGACGCAGGTTCGAATCCTCGTCACGGCCCTTGTGGATTTGTTCGAACTTCAAGTCTCTGTGCTCTCATAAACCCAATGTACCTTCTTGTATATAAATAAATAAATAATGACGGACACCACCATAACGAACGACTATATCACGACTCTGTTGTTGAAATGGAAATTGCATCGATTCAAAGTGAAAAGTATAGTGTTGACTACACACTAGAAAATGAAGGGACGACGACGTTTCGGTCCGTCCTGGACCATTCTCAAGTCGATTCTCAACATATTTCAGCCACGTTATTGTGACTCATCGTCTGCAGAAAACTAACATCGCTTTTAAAACGATTGAAATGCAGTTACAAGTATAACTGCATTTATACAAACAATGTTATATGTAACGCGAGATGTAATGTTGCAAAGTTAGAAGCACGTTGATATAAAGTTACGATTAAAACAAGATTACTATAATCCAGCACTACGGTTAAGCGTCACAGATGAAGCCAGATAAAGCATAATAAGGTTCGAATCCTCGTCACGGCCCTTGTGGATTTGTTCATTAAAGCATAAGCTGCAATTAGGCTTTAAGATAAACTACATCATATATATGTAAAGGATGTTTGGCCACTGTCGTGTCAGGGTTATGGATAATTAACTTGGGTTAAGGTAATTAAGCTGTTGTGCAGGAGCACAGGGGCAGAATTAATGTAAGGAACTGATTATAATTATGGTGTGTGTGTGTGTGTACTTATCTAGTTGTACTTACCTAGTTGTACTTGCCTAGTTGTGCTTGCGGGGGTTGAACTCTGGCTCTTTGGTCCCGCCTCTCAACTGTCAATCAACTGGTGTATGTGTGTGTGTGTGTGTGTAATTACCTAAGTGTAGTTACAGGATGAGAGCTACGCTCGCGGTGTCCCGTCTTCCCAGCACCCTTTGTCATATAACGCTTTGAAACTACTGACGGTCTTGGCCTCCACCACCTTCTCACTTAACTTGTTCCAACCGTCTACCACTCTATTTGCGAACGTGAATTTTCTTATATTTCTTCGGCATCTGTGTTTAGCTAGTTTAAATCTATGACCTCTTGTTCTTGAAGTTCCAGGTCTCAGGAAGTCTTCCCTGTCGATTTTATCAATTCCTGTTACTATTTTGTACGTAGTGATCATATCACCTCTTTTTCTTCTGTCTTCTAGTTTTGGCATATTTAATGCTTCTAACCTCTCCTCGTAGCTCTTTGTGTGAGTGTGTGTGTGTGTGTGTGTGTGTGTGTGTGTGTGTGTGTGTGTGTGTGTGTGTGTGTGTGTCTTGGGTGTGTATGTGGTGTGCTGGTGTATTTAGTTGTGTGGTTGTAGTGGATGAACGGGTGTAGTGAGGGAGTAGGGTGTAGTGGATGAGTGGGTGTAGTAGTGAGCACATGAGAAGCAAGCGGTGTACAAGTGTAGCCAGTGCCTGGGGTGTACCTGGGCGTGTGGGCCGGAACAGGAAGCTGGGAAGGGGAATATCCGGGAAGCGGGTGTATGTGGAACAGGTGGGGGTGGGGGAGACAGTGCTATAAGCCTCCGACACGCTATTTCTGACGATAACACATAGGAATATGAAATGATAGATATGAATTATATTGATGTGTATGTATAGGCCACACCGCCAACATCAACAGACAAGCCTGTATCCCGATGACTGCTAATTTTACGATCTATTCTCACATTCTCGCTTTTATTCAACAGTCCATGAAAATTTGAGCTCGCAACTAGGCTCGGGAAACACAGCGATCACTAACTACCTCAACCCTACTCTTGACCCGAGTGTTGACGCGGTCATTGCAGGTAAAGTGCAATAAATTAGAACGATGTAGGCCTATCCCACACCCGTCCTGCAAGCGGCTGTGGGAGGCCTACGGACGCACACAGCGTCTTTAACAACAGAGCCCCCCCATGCAATATTTACCTTAGCAAGTTGCAGAATTGATGGACCAGTTAAAGTATTCATGAGCTTATTCATCGGCAGCTTATTTACGCTGTTGGTCAGCTTATTCTCTAGCTGCGTTACTTTTTCATTACGTTACCCCTCTATTATACCGAGCCCCGTTTTCTTAGGACAACTAAACCAAACCAAACCCGTTTTCTTAATTTCCTACTCTATATATAAACAATAAAATAAAATGTTTTTTCAGGTAAGGTACATACATACAAGAGATTTTACATAATTTGATCGATTTATAGATGGAGCTAGTACATACAATGCCTAAAGCCTGATTACAGACCTATTACAATTATGCCTAATTACAGACATTACAGACTTACATGACTCTGTAAAAAAGTAACCGTTTTGCCTAACCAGAAACGTACGACTAACCCAAGCAACCCACCTAACGTATCAAGGGATACGTTGTCAAGGGTATATGGGTGTACGTGGTTTGTATCTCATAGGAGGTGTGTAACATTCACGACTTGTATTACACGACAACCTCTTCTCTCTCTTGTCGTGGGATCGACACTGGAAGACAGAAGAGTAAGGGGAGACATGATCACTACCTACAAAATTCTCAGAGGAATTGACAGGGTGGATAAAGATAAACTGTTTAACACGGGTGGTACGCGAACAAGGGGACACAGGTGAAAACTGAGTACCCATATGAGCCACAGGGACGTTAGAAAGAATTTGTTCAGTGTCAGAGCAGTTAACAGGTGGAATGCATTAGGCAGTAATGTGGTGGAGGCTGACTCCATACACAGTTTCAAATGTAGATATGATAGAGCCCAGTAGGCTCAGGAACATGTACACCAGTTGATTGACAGTCGAGAGGCGGGACCAAAGAGCCAGAGCTCAACCCCCGCAAGCACAACTAGGTGAGAACACACACACCCATTTCCCCCCCCCCATCACACAAACACATAGCAAAAAAAAAAAAACGAACATTAAAGGAAGCGGACATGCAGTAATTGAGGCCAACACCTACCATGAGAGTTCCGCTGACAGTTCCCGGTGCGCGCTCTCCCGGCCAACAGATACCGGCGGTGTGGTCCTCTCTCTGGGAAGATACCGGTAATGTGGGGCTTAATTCGGTCACATGTCGACACATTTGGTACCGATAGTGTCTCTCTCTGCAGTGATAGATAACAGCGATGAGAGCCCCGACGATGATACCACATGTGTTATCTCTACGGTGTTATCATTATAATAATAATTCATTGTGTGATGATGATGATGATGAAGATTAAGCCACCTAAAAGGTGGCACGGGCATGAATAGCCCGTAAGTGGTGGCCCTTTTGAGCCATTACCAGTATCAAGAGCTGATACTGGAGATCTGTGGAGGTGCGACTGCACCCTGCGTGACGGGAGATGTCTCCCGTGAATTCATTGTGTCGGGAGACAGGGTTTATATATACATGTTAGGCTTATGTCGACGCCCCCCCCCACCCACCCCTAGATCGAACTGGTGACACCCTCCCCCTACTTCCCAGGATTCAACCCCACAACAACCTCAAGTACAAGCCTGGGTACCTATTTACTACTAGGTGAACAGGATGTTAGGTCATAGGAAACCCGCCCAACTATTCCTATCATGCAAGGGATTCGAATCAGGACTTTCCGGTTGTGAGTCGAGAAAGAGCCGGACTGAATTAATGGGATCCTCAATGATGTATATATGTATATCTCTTATGTGACAGTGGATCATAATGGGTTACATATTATTGGCGAGTCATTGGGATATCGGCAGTGAGGGGGCTTTCCCAGCAACGGTGGTGTTGGGGGAGAGTCTCAGCAACGAATCATGGAAGACATACATGAAGTCACTCGAATCTCTGTATCAACGGTTGATGTTTTGTCGCGACATAGATTTGGCAACCTTTTTTCTGCTGTGAAAACGGGTTTAAGTTCTCCTTGGTGATAGATAATGATGACACACGAGTCCTGATGGTGGGAGATATTGGCAGTTTGGTATCCATGTCGTCAGATATGGATAGCTTGTTACCCATGGCGTCAGATATGGATAGCTCGTTACCCATGGCGTCAGATATGGATAGCTCGTTACCCATGGCGTCAGATATGGATAGCTCGTTACCCATGGCGTCAGATATGGATAGCTCGTTACCCATGGCGTCAGATATGGATAGCTCGTTACCCATGGCGTCAGATATGGATAGCTCGTTACCCATGGCGTCAGATATGGATAGCTCGTTACCCATGGCGTCAGATATGGATAGCTCGTTACCCATGGCGTCAGATATAGAAACTTAGGTTTTACGGTTAACTAACTCTACTGGCCAGTTTTCGGTGACGTCACGCTAGTATGCCACTACATGGGTATGACGACAACGTCCGTTGTACCGGAGTTCAAGCGACGAAAACAACAGTGTTAATACACCCTAACAATGACTGAACTCTGTACACAGCATCTGTGGCTTTCGAAACGGTTAGAACAGCACCGGTTCTGATCAAGAGTCACATCAGACACCGTAAAGATAATCAGAACGCAACGTCGCTTGAATCCTTTAATATATCCTTAGAGTAGGAACTCTTAATTGTGGCCAATGAGCGTCCGACTCTCCATGTTAGGATATCAACAGGGAGCTCCTATACTAAAACACATATAACAGCAAGATGCAATTTATTTCGTGCAGGATGTGATATAATCTGATAAATATTAAAATAAATATTTATGTGTGTGTGTGGTATAATAAGCATAATAACTTTTAAGAGACATCAGCGAAACTTTATGTTTACGTGTCAGCTTGATTATGCAGAAAAACTTCAAGTGAATAGGCTTCAGCGGTACAATAGAGACTCCTAAAAAAATATAAAAAATGGAATATATTTTCCCCGTGAACGTGTGGAAAACACATGTGCTCTTAGAGTTCTTTGATTGAAAAAAAGTTAATTAGAAAAATGCTGATCCCTCAAAATAATCTCCAAAACCACAATCAAAAGAAACTTCCAATCTACCCACCGCACAGTCTCCGGGTCGTCATTCTTTGCTAACTAAACCCTTGTTGCACATGCAGGTGCTGAGCGCGGGGGCCTGAGCAGAGCCAGCAGGCGGGCTTCACCGAGGTCCTCTGATGACACCAGTCATCCATTGGATATGACGAGTAAAGGTATTTAGTTGACATGATGCGGGAGTTTTAGTGATGGCCTCGTATTACGGGGATTAGCTAATATTATTACACGTATTTTGAAATGATATATGATTTCATTTCATACAGGTATGCCAGTTTTTCCCCATGTGCACACACACACACACACACACACACACACACACACACACACACACACACACACCACACACACACAGGTATTAGAAAGAATTTTTTCAGTGTCAGAGTACTTAGTAAATGGAACGCACTAGGCAGTGATGTGGTGGAGGCTGACTCCATACAGTTTCAAATGTAGATATGATAGAGCCCAGTAGGCTCAGGAACCTGTACACCAGTCGATTACGTTGAGAGGCGGGACCAAAGAGACAAAGCTCAACCCCCGCAAGCACAAATAGGCGAGTACAAGACGAATATGCCTTCATAACAGTAATTATCGAGCGGCTTGTAGTGGAAGACAGAACTCAGGAATATGTCTGTGCCAGGCATGATCATCTGTGTTGACATTGTGTTCAGAAAATGAAGATATATTCACTCCAACACTAAGGGACAAAGAAGCTAAGAGTGTCACTCCATGGTTTAACAGGTAGTGCCTTAAGGCGAAAAAACAGAAGAGCTTGAAAGAGGAAAACAGGAAAAAAACAGAGCAGAGGGGAAGAAACAATAGAATTAATAAAAATAAAAATTTAAACGGACAGGTAATAAGATCATTTCATATCTTGCATGATATTGTCCACTACATATTCTCAAGACTTATGAAAACTATATAGTGTTGAATCTCACGTTATAAAGCACGAAACAAACCTAGTAACAGTTCTAAACGTTTCATATAAAACATGTTCCTCAACGTGGAGACCTGAGCTATGATTAAAATAGATTAAGGAACTTAATCTTACCACGGTGGGAGGGGGGGGGGGCGAATGGTGTTAGATGTGACATGATCCCAACATACAAAATTATTAAAGGCATTGGCAAAGTGAAAACAAATATCTGTTTAACATTAACAAGGCAAAAACGGAAGGACAAGAGATGAAACTGGAGCTGAAGGAATGTATTAAAACACTTCATTAGCATGAGTAGCAATCAAGTGGCAGGTGCTGAATACCTTACCTTGAGGTTACCTTGAGGTGCTTCCGGGGCTTAGCGTCCCCGCGGCCCGGTCGTCGACCAGGCCTCCTGGTTGTGCTGGACTGGTCAACCAGGCTGTTGGACGCGACTGCTCTCAGCCTGACGTACGAATCACAGCCTGGTTGATCAGGTATCCTTTGGAGGTGCTTATCCAGTTCTCTCTTGAACACTGTGAGGGGTTTGCCAGTTATGCCCCTTATGTGTAGTGGAAGCGTGTTGAACAGTCTCGGGCCTCTGATGTTGATAGAGTTCTCTCTCAGAGTACCTGTTGCACCTCTGCTCTTCAACGGGGATATTCTGCACATCCTGCCGTGCCTTCTGGTCTCTATGTGATGTTATTTCTGTGTGCAGGTTTGGGACCAGCCCTTATCTTTTCCAAGTATAGATTATTATGTATCTCTCCCGCCTGCGCTCAAGAGAGTACAGATTTAGGCTCTTTAGTCGGTCCCAGTAGTTTAGATGTTTTACTGAGTGGATTCTAGCAGTAAAGGATCTCTGCACGCTCTCCAGGTCGGCAATTTCTCCAGCTTTGAAAGGGGCTGTCATTGTGCAGCAGTACTCCACTCTAGATAGCACAAGCGTCTTGAAAATTATCATCATCGGTATAGCATCTCTAGTGCGAAAGGTTCTTGTTATCCAACCTGTCATTTTTCTTGCAGTTGTGACGGCTACTTTATTGTGTTCTTTAAAGGTAAGGTCTTCCGACATGAGTACACCCAAATCCTTTACATTGCCTTTTCGTTCTATGTTATGATTTGCCTGAGTTTTGTACGTGGTTTCCGTTTTTATATTCTCATTTTTTTCCGTAGCGCATGAGCTGGAACTTATCTTCGTTAAACACCATATTATTTTCTGTAGCCCATAGAAAGACCTGATTTACGTCTGATTGGAGGTTTGCCATGTCCTCTATGTTGTTTACTCTTATGAAAATCCTAGTGTCATCTGTAAAGGATGATACAGTGCTATTGGTTGTGTCCTTGTCTATGTCCAATATGAGGATGAGAAAAAGTACTGGAGCAAGCACACTACCCTGGGGGACTGAGCTCTTCACGGTTGATGGACCGGATTTTCTTTTATTGACTATAACACTTTGGGTTCTGTTAGTCAGGAAATTGTAGATCCATCTGCCTATTTTTCCGGTAATTCCTTTTGAATGGGGATGAATGCTGTACCACCAACCTACAAAGCTGAATGCTGTACCACGAAACAACAAAGCAGAGTGCTGTACCTCTGTACCACCACCCCACAAAAGCATAGAAGCTTGTTCATGAACTCCTGTGTCTGGGTACAAGTGGCAGGATGAACAACTCAGCGGGTTTTCTTCCTATTGGGGAGTGTTGTACATGCTGCTATGGCGGTGTGTCCACTCACAAGATGAGTGGCGCTGCCCAATAAACTCGCCCCTCGGGGCAAAATTTAAAAAAAAAAAACTCATTCACCCTCCCCCCCTCCCTCGGTCGAGTGCATACGGGTTATGTGGTCATTTCATCTAGTCCAGATTTAGGCCACGCAACATACAATATCAAATGATAAACCTGAATAGTACACAAGCTGCATATATATATATATATATATATATATATATATATATATATATATATATATATATATATATATATATATATATATATATATATATATATATATATATATATTCCCATTGTTGTGTTCTTCAAGAGATCCATAACCTTTAAGCACCTTTTTGCATTATTATTTTTGTATCAACCCATGTATATCTTGTAACCATCAAATGCATAATAAAGCACTAAAAAAAAAAAAAAAAATATTCAAGGAAGGGGGTGGTAGGAGAAAAGCACACAGAAACGGTATTGGAGGGGATCTAAACATTCCCTCTAATGCGTTATGCGTGGTTTCCTCCGAGGCTATGGGTCCCCCTTCTTCCAGCTAGAGGTGGTACTCCCTTCCCTATATATATATATATATATATATATATATATATATATATATATATATATATATATATATATATATATATATATATATATATATATATATATATATATATATTATTCGCTGTGCCTAGTTTATTCATTGTTGTTGTAGTAGTTTAAGATTCTTCAAAGCACCAGAGGACATAGTGAGCCCGTAGGATTTATGTGAATGTCCGTAGGCTTTTTTTTTTTAGGTGAGGTGACTGTGGACATGCAGGCTGGTACAGGCCGCCAGTGTCCACCCCACACGTATAAGGCCTTCACCCTCCCAGGCCATAAAGGGGAGGAGGCCGTCACGCTTCCTTGTTATGTCGGCCATTATTCCACTAGTGTGTAGCTCTCTCTTCCCCCCTAACTAGGCGTAATTCCACTCGTAATGAGGGGTTAGGGTCTGGCACTCAAATCAGTAAAGGTGAATTATGGCTGGAATAGATCAATTTCATTCTCTCCATTCACATGTAAGCAAAATATATATATCTGCACTGACGGTAAATAATGGAAAGTTTTCTTTGCGTTAGATTATTATTTCAGGAATATGGTGTTCCTTACTGATGAATCTCTCTTGATATCATGACCGAGAATATAGCCAAATATCTTCATTCGAGAATTGAGGATAGTATAACTTTCTGGAGAAATGTTGTTATCTATTTCTCCATAATAACTACGTTACATACTTAAGTAAATATCACCATTTAAGTTCCAAATGATAAGTAGATATATTACTGCCGAACTGAGAACGAAGATTGGGTGAAACTTTATGACAAAAGGTTTGGCATTCACCTGGTGATGGCTACAGGAGAGAACAAGCCTCCATATGCCTATAGAACTGTCAAGGCCTACAAGTCTGGAAACTGACTTCGCCCAATCTCAGGCACAAACCCACGTACAAGTAATTATCAAAAGAAGGCGCCAAGCCGGGGAGAAACTTACAAGCTGCCTATAGTAGTTGTTGTTTAAGATTTGCTTCTTGGAACAAAAAGTTTCAAGTAGCACGGGCTATGGTGAGCCCGTCTTTGCCTGCCTATAGGTGATTCGACACTGTGCTGATTCCATCCATCCTGGTCTCATGGTGTAGCCATAGGTTCTTCCCATGTAACGTTCTCTGTTACATTTTTAGCATTTTTATACGGGGTACTAGGGGAGTCGGTCGGCCTAGCGGACAGCACACTGGTCTTTTGATCCTGTGGTCCCGGGTTCGATCCCGGGCGCCGGCGAGAAACAATGGGCAGAGTTTCTTTCACCCTATGCCCCTGTTACCTAGCAGTAAAATAGGTACCTGGGTGTTAGTCAGCTGTCACGGGCTGCTTCCTGGGGGTGGAGCCCTGGTCGAGGACCGGGCCGCGGGGACACTAAAGCCTCGAAATCATCTCAAGATAACCTCAAGATACTATTAAGGTTACGTCCTAATACACTGTAACACTGTAAAAGTGTTTGGGTTAGTTTATTTAAAATATATATAGAGTACACGAGTCACAGACAAGGATCGGAGAGGCGCCAGTTGTCTGCCTGAGATCTCACACCTCTAACCGTTAACGACCCCAAGTGACCTGAGGTCAGATCATGAGAATTTCACCTTGCTTCCGCTAAGCTCTTAATTGGAGCCGGGTAGCCTTCAAACATGCCGACGTTTAAGGAGTGGCTTGGTAGAGTGCCGGAGGCTATCTACTTATGGGCGGAGTTAGCTACTAGGTTCCCCAATATAAACTCGGAGAGCTATCGAGCAGAAAAGCAATAGGAGACCGGCCAGCGGAGCAGAGCAGAGGCCAGCCGTCGAGATAGGCCGTCACCAGACGGGGGGTGACGCTGCCTGAAAATTGCAGACCCCCCCCCCCCCTCTCTATTCAACTTAGACTCAGTCCTCGGTGAGTGAACATTTAGGTGACTTGGTCGTGTTTACATATGTTGTGTGATGATCAGGGGCAGTCAAGTTGTAGGGTTCTCAGATTCTTGGAGGATGACTCACTTTAAATATTAAACTGGAACATTTTAATTGAATTGCTAAATTATGATACTTCATGTGAAATATAATTATGAATTTATTATTTAAATTGTGTTTAACTTTGTTCCCTAGAGATTTTGAGTTGAGATGAGAAAGCCTCTGTGGTTACTGGTTTCATGATATTAACGAGTACATGTTTGGAGTTGATACATGGTACAGAGGGAACATACTAATAATGAACTCATGATAACATCTTTTGAGAATTTTGTGATACAGGCAAGTTCCATTCCTTGTCTTGTATGTAATGATCATGAATGGATGGTGGCAGCATTTCGTCTTCTACTATCTACTCTTCTACGTCTACTATCTACTCTTCTACTTCTACCTATCTACACCTCTCCCTCCACCCCCTCTCTAAACTCTCACTTTCAACTAATGACCATCCTCGCCCCTCCCACCTCTCTGCCTCTCACCCCAAACCCTCACTAATTACTTCACTATTCATTTCTTTCCTTTCGTTTTCTCTTATACGTTTGTGGCAATGATTCTGTATTCTAGAGTTCTCTCTAGAGTTTCGGGTAACTGATCAAGTGACGGCGCCTTGTAGTCTTAACACCTAGGTAGTCAAATACCTAGGTTACAAGGTGTTGAACGAGAGAGGTTGCCTTAGGAACTCTGGAGGTGCTCTAGAATAGTTAGCTAACTGGAGACGGGATAACGGACTAGAGAGAGCTGTTTCCCCCGGCCTCGTTAGTTAACTGGGGGGTGGAATAATGGACAAGATAGAGCTATTTCCCCCACCCCCCGTTACAATGGTGGCAGCGGTGTTGAACAATGTTGTAGGTAGTTGGTGTTCTTTTAACATTGTTCAGTCCCACGTGTCTTTTTGCCGCTCAGGCGCTATCAGGGAGATCTTGACAGGTGTTTATTATTCGCGAGTTAGCGAACTTTTTTTCAGGTTAGGAGATAGTGATTCTCTGGTGTTGTGTTTAGTGATTTTGTGAGTTTTGTGTAGTTCAGGGAATGTTCTCCAGAACTTGCGTGTGTAGTGTTTTATGTTAGTAATAAGATTTGGCGATTTGGGAACTTAGCGGTGTTGGTAGTGCAGGTCAGCTGAGTGTGACAGGTGACCTCGCATGTCCCACGGGGACACCCAGCCACCGCTGGTCTCCAGGTCAGTGGGGAGTGGCAGGTGTAGTTCTTAAATAGATTTTAAGTAGTTTTTAGTGGTTCTGCTCAGATTATTGCGATCGACTGTTTTACTCCATTTGAACGCAATAACCCGAGGTGTACTGGTCTTGTACAGCATGCTAGGGGGAGCCTTAGTATGTCAGTAGACTTCACGTTGGGGACGCTCGACGTTAGATAGTCTGGTCACAGGGGTGGCAACAGTTTGGGGTTGTTGACCGGCGGAGAAGCTAGGGAGACACTCTGGGTCACGTAGGTGGCTGTAGGTTAAGGGTGGGAGTAATGGTTAATTATGTACTTAAGATTAGGAACGGTACAGTTAAGTTTAGGCTAGTGTTTTGTCTATTAGTGTTGATTTTTTTTGTGACAAGTTAAAGGTAGTGATGACCTTATTCTCTCTTCTCTAACTTTCCTCTGTTACTGTCTTATGTTCCACCAAGTCAATATCATTCAGTGTTAATTGGATTATTTTAAAAATTTAAGTGTAGTTGTTGCCAGGAGGAGAGCGGTATGACTGGACTGTGTAACCCTATACAAACTACAGGGTCACATAACATATCTTGGGAGCACGATATTGTCGCCTTTCTGTTCACCCACAGGTGGGAGCCAGAAGAGAGGAGAGACGCACATACAAAAGAGGGAGACGGCTGCTGTGTACCACACTCACGGGCGTTAATCACCACCACCACGACCAGCCCACTACCTGGAGGTCATGGCTCCACCACCACCACCACCCCAGGGGACCCCAAGATGCAGCCCTCTCGGTCGGTCAACATTGGTCTACCCAGTGGACCCCAGGACGGACGGATCCCAGTGGACCCCAAGACTTACGGACCTCAGTGGACCCCAAGACGGACGGACCCCAGTGGACCCCAGGTCGTTCTGCAGACGACCCCAGACGACCCAGTAATGATGGAAGAGGAGCAACAACGACTCCAGTCTGTCCCACCAACATCGGTCTACCCAGGATGGACCCCAGGACGGACAGACCCCCAATGGACCCCAGGTCGCTTGTCTAAGACCCATGGGAGGAGGAAGAGAGAAGAAAGAAGAGAGAAGAAAGAAGAGAGAAGAAGGAAGAGAGAAAAAAGAAGAGAGAAGAAAGAAGAAGATAAGACAAGCTGAGACACGATACCTAGTGTCCCTTGCTGGTGTCAGCATCATTGCATGGAGCGTAATTGCAAGACAGGATCGTTTGCCTTAACTGGCCGCCCCTCCTACAAGCATGTTGCTCTGTTGAGTGATTCTTCCTGTGTCATGCGGACTTGATGTGGCTGTCAGAAGTAGCTCTCTGAAGGAGGCGTGCTGGAGCAACAGGGAGGAAGAAGAGTAGGATGGGATTTCTACTGTTGGCAACTATATGAAGGTCTCGAAACTTGTAGTCCCTATAGCTGTGAAGAACCCCAATATACGTCTCTCATGGTGACTGACGTAGGGCCAATTACAGATCAGCTGGGACAACCGAATTCCACGGTCCTGAGCGCAGTTCAAGTAGTAACGGCTTTCGGGTTGACCAAGGGTTGTTGTGCGTTAACGACGGAGAAGCGACGGAGGCAGTTGTGTTGAAGAAATGTGGTACAGGATTATCTACAAGACCAAGCAGTGACGTCGCCCAGCCAGAGACAATGGACGTCTGTCTACATATTTCATTTTTTAGAGTAGGATGATGTATATTTGTTTAGCTAGGATGTATTCTTTTCGTTAATAAAGTTGTCGCACACAGCTAGCTTGCTTTAGCAGTGTTGCAAAAACTTTATTTTCGGGGAGAAGGGGAGATGTAACACTGTAAAAGTGTTTGGGTTAGTTTATTTAAAATATATATAGAGTACACGAGTCACAGACAAGGATCGGAGAGGCGCCAGTTGTCTGCCTGAGATCTCACACCTCTAACCGTTAACGACCCCAAGTGACCTGAGGTCAGATCATGAGAATTTCACCTTGCTTCCGCTAAGCTCTTAATTGGAGCCGGGTAGCCTTCAAACATGCCGACGTTTAAGGAGTGGCTTGGTAGAGTGCCGGAGGCTATCTACTTATGGGCGGAGTTAGCTACTAGGTTCCCCAATATAAACTCGGAGAGCTATCGAGCAGAAAAGCAATAGGAGACCGGCCAGCGGAGCAGAGCAGAGGCCAGCCGTCGAGATAGGCCGTCACCAGACGGGGGGTGACGCTGCCTGAAAATTGCAGACCCCCCCCCCTCTCTATTCAACTTAGACTCAGTCCTCGGTGAGTGAACATTTAGGTGACTTGGTCGTGTTTACATATGTTGTGTGATGATCAGGGGCAGTCAAGTTGTAGGGTTCTCAGATTCTTGGAGGATGACTCACTTTAAATATTAAACTGGAACATTTTAATTGAATTGCTAAATTATGATACTTCATGTGAAATATAATTATGAATTTATTATTTAAATTGTGTTTAACTTTGTTCCCTAGAGATTTTGAGTTGAGATGAGAAAGCCTCTGTGGTTACTGGTTTCATGATATTAACGAGTACATGTTTGGAGTTGATACATGGTACAGAGGGAACATACTAATAATGAACTCATGATAACATCTTTTGAGAATTTTGTGATACAGGCAAGTTCCATTCCTTGTCTTGTATGTAATGATCATGAATGGATGGTGGCAGCATTTCGTCTTCTACTATCTACTCTTCTACGTCTACTATCTACTCTTCTACTTCTACCTATCTACACCTCTCCCTCCACCCCCTCTCTAAACTCTCACTTTCAACTAATGACCATCCTCGCCCCTCCCACCTCTCTGCCTCTCACCCCAAACCCTCACTAATTACTTCACTATTCATTTCTTTCCTTTCGTTTTCTCTTATACGTTTGTGGCAATGATTCTGTATTCTAGAGTTCTCTTTAGAGTTTCGGGTAACTGATCAAGTGACGGCGCCTTGTAGTCTTAACACCTAGGTAGTCAAATACCTAGGTTACAAGGTGTTGAACGAGAGAGGTTGCCTTAGGAACTCTGGAGGTGCTCTAGAATAGTTAGCTAACTGGAGACGGGATAACGGACTAGAGAGAGCTGTTTCCCCCGGCCTCGTTAGTTAACTGGGGGGTGGAATAATGGACAAGATAGAGCTATTTCCCCCACCCCCCGTTACAACACTTTAGGGGTCAAACCTGACCGCTACTGCAGAAGTGCTGACGAATTCTTGACAGGAAATACGTGCTATTATTTAAGGTAATTTTTTTATCTAGATTTGTTGTTAAGATTTACTTGAGACAAAAGAATAGCACCTTCCTTACTCCAGTCTGTACTACAGGAACTAACATAGGCATGTGTCTTAATGATAGTCCTGAGCACCCTTCACGGGTATAAGCGAAATATTATTGACGTCTACAAGGGTTAGTATATCCCCATGTGCCTACAAGTCTATCACACCGCTCCAGTTGGTAACAGATTGACGAGGAACTCTGCCCATCCACGCAGCAAACCAACCGCACAACCAGCAAACATTTAACCACACAACCAACAAACATTTAACCACACAACCACCAAACATTTAACCACACAACCACCAAACATTTAACCACACAGCCAACAAAAATCTAACTACACAATCACCCAGCATTTAGCCAGACCATCGGCGAGCGACCACGAAAGCAACACATTTAATTGCCGTGATTTTTTTTCCAGCCGAGGAGGCGGGGTACAGCGGCCAGCAGGTGGTGATCCCACCTACCCCTGCTCCACGCCTCTGCCCTCCTGCTCCACCCTCCACGCCTGCTGGCCTGGCACAGCCCGCCTCCAGCAGCAGCATCAGCGAGTATCAGGAAGTGCGGGCGCTGCGAGTGGTGGGCGGTGGAGGGCATCAGCGGAAGGAAGAAGCGGGATACTCTGCTAAAATTGTACGACAGCTGGCGAAGGTGAACTTGGCGGTGGCGTCCATCCTGTTTCTGTGTCAGGTGAGAACAGGTTCCTCTACTGTATGTCACAGTCTGCTTCCGTTCCCTCTCCCAACTACACCATACAACAGTGTACGGGTGTGTGTCCTACTCCTGCATAGTACACCGTCTTGTAGGTGTATTTCTCCGCCAAACACACCAAAGGTTACATGTTAAGACTGTTCATTACATGTTAAGCTTTAAGTCGTCCCAACAATCAGCAAGACGGCCATTTACCTTATCATTAATCTTCATTACGGGCTATTCGTGCCCGTGCTACCTCTTGGGTGGCTTAATCTTCATCAATCAATCATTAATCTTCAGGTATTAGTTAATAGCTAAGCGATTGAAATATTGAAGCGATCTCTCAGTGAATATCTAACAGAGAAATAAAAATTGTCGTTCAAATACACAAACAATACAAGGCAATGCAATAGATTATGGATAATACAACAGATGAAGACTGAATCATAGTTTAGTGCGGAATATATATACACATATCCAACGGTAATTTAGCGTAGTATATATATCTTCCTGGGAAAATAATATGTATATACCCCATCCTCCCATGGCCAATAACAGTTGTGTATATATTTCCCTCATCCTAAACAATACGTGGTTTACACGAAAAATATTATATATAATATATATTATATATTAAACACCTTTAAATTTCCCAGAGGAAAGCACGTGCAATCTAACACTCACGACAGTGCCATACTGCCCGAAGTACCTCCGCAGCAGCTCCTCCGGAAACTCCAGGGGCGCACCTTAAACCCTGACAGAGGTGAGAGCACCACTCCGGTCAGAAACAATCCCTGTACCAGCAGCGTCTGGCAGTTGCCAGGTCCGTCCCTCGTAGCTACGTAAAAACGCCCCGTAGTCCTTCTTCACAATAGCCCGATGTGAAGACACCAATTCCACACCATAGATCGCTGCCACGGAGACACGGAACATATCACAAAACAAGTTCCACGGCAGAATAATCAGCCTGCCCAGTAAATTCGAGACCCACCGAACAAGTCCGCACAACTGGGGGGAGAGGCCCCCCCTTATACAAGTAACTAATTATTAAACGAAGGCACTAAACCGGGAAGGCTATGTAGCACCAACAAATGTGCGGAATAATCAGAGGGCGCTAAATATCACCAAGGATGCCAATACGAGAACTGAAATGCATAAGGCGAACGATATCAAAAGTGTCCGATTCTCCAAGAATTCTATCGAGAGACAAGCGACCGCGAGGGACGGTCGGAAAGCAAGACACGCTCGTCCTGGAAGTCAGGACATTCAACAAGGATATGCACGACTGTAAGAGGGACAATTCAATTTGGACAATAAGGAGCAGGGCGACGCTCCATTAAGTGACCGTGAGTTAAGCGTGTATGGTCAATACGCAACCTCGCCAGAGCCGTTTTCCATCGCCGGTTACGGATAGGAGGACGGCTATGAGGAGACACTACTCTTAAGAGTACCCAGTGTGTTACCAATAACAGAAGACCAACAATCCTGCCAACGGGTAAGGATGGAGGAATGAATAACTGGGTAAAAGTCGGAATAAGGAATACCTTTATGGGAGATGGGACAAGAGCGGAGACACTAATATGACTGGGAACCCAACAAAACTCTACCGACTTAAATTTACCGGAAATAAGAAACAGCTAATGCTGAAGCTCAACAACCACTGGATGGACCCCCATCACACAAGCCACGTCAGTAACGAGGAGTACCCAACCACCACACACGCCGGACAATAACTGCAGCACAGGCCGGTACCTCCTCAACCCCCCTGGCGGTCGGGTCCGAACCATTCCTCTTAAAAGCTTAAGAGGAAGTCATCAGTCTGGTGATAACATTCAACACAGGAGAGCATTACGTGTACATGGTAGGCTCGTCTCAGGTCGACAATCACACGCAAAAACACAACATCGACTACCTTAACACCATCGATTGATTGATGAAAATTAAGCCACCCAAGACGTGGCACGGGCATGAATAGCCCGTAAGTGGTAGTTATTTTTTTACTAGTGTTAACATTATCTATATCTTTAGTCTTATATACTTCATAGACACTAATAAGCTGTGTGTTGCAAGGGCACAACTGCTAGACGTAAGCATAATAATTCAGGAGTAATTAATGCCTTGTTTTCTATACATCTCTCGGTACTTTATCTATCGAATATATTTTCCCAGTCTCATTCCTGAATGTTAACATTTGTTTTTGTTTTTTCTGCCCTCTTCCTCATTAAACCATATCACTAACTATAATTCCTCCTCTCTCCTTCCTCCTACACATTTGCTGGCTACGGATGACATCCCACTCCCCTTCCCCACTGCCTGCGGCGACATCCCACTCCCCTTTCCCCACCACTGCCTGTGGAGACCTACTCTACCTTTATTGCTGCGACATCCTCCCCCTCCTCACTGCCCGCGGCGAGGCATGCAGCTGGTGGTAGCGGCGTGTCTGTGTCGGCCAGTGGTGATAATGGGGGGACTGTGGGTGGGCATCCTGGTGCTAGTGCAGGCCGTCCTCGGACTCCGAGCCGCCAACACCACCTTCTCTCACGCTCTGTAAGTATATGCGTTCATAACGTTCTCAGGCGCCAGCACCCGAGAACATGTGCCCCGCGGGCTCACAATATACCTCTCCTTCCCTATTTCCAGTTATCTTCAACTCTGTGTATTAATGGAGGAATTTATGCCCTATGCTTTGTCAGGATTTTACCAATTTAAACCTCCTTGCTTATTTTTTTTTTACTAAAAGTTTATTATACTTTTAATTTAGTTTATTATATTTGTGGATAGACACCTTTTGTGACCCTAGAGCATGAATCATGGATACAGACTCAGTGTACACTTAGCCCGCCCAAAAGACCCCACATCCATCATTGAAGCTTATGGAGAGGTGAGGACTGTAACCCTTGGTCCCCGGCAGAGTACTGGGTCACGCCTGGGTGTCCGGAGTGGTGAGTGTGGTGTGTCTGGCAGCCGCTGGCTACCTGTGTTCCGGCCACCTCACTCTCGCCTGCATCTCCACCTTCCACAGGCCCGACCACGCTTCAGGTGAGGATCCCCTGGCGCCTACACCTGTTAGTTAGTGGGTCCCCTGGCGCCTACACCTGCTAGTTAGTGGGTCCCCTGGCGCCTACACCTGCTAGTTAGTGGGCCGCCTACACCCACTAGTTAGTGGGCCGCCTACACCCACTAGTTAGTGGCTCCCCTGGCGCCTACACCTGCTAGTTAGTGGGTCCCCTGGCGCTTACACCCGCTAGTTAGTGGGTCCCCTGGCGCTTACACCCGCTAGTTAGTGGGTCCCCTGGCCGCCTACACCTCCTAGTTAGTGGGTCCCCTGGCGCCTACACCTGCTAGTTAGTGGGTCCCCTGGCGCCTACACCTGCTAGTTAGTGGGTCCCCTGGCGCCTACACCCACTAGTTAGTGGGTCCCCTGGCCGCCTACACCTGCTAGTTAGTGGGTCCCCTGGCGCCTACACCCACTAGTTAGTGGGTCCCCTGGCCGCCTACACCTGCTAGTTAGTGGGTCCCCTGGCGCTTACACCCGCTAGTTAGTGGGTCCCCTGGCGCTTACACCCGCTAGTTAGTGGGTCCCCTGGCGCCTACACCCGCTAGTTAGTGGGTCCCCTGGCGCTTACACCCGCTAGTTAGTGGGTCCCCTGGCCGCCTACACTTGCTAGTTAGTGGGTCCCCTGGCGCCTACACCTGCTAGTTAGTGGGTCCCCTGGCGCCTACACCCACTAGTTAGTGGGTCCCCTGGAGCCTACACCTGCTAGTTAGTGGGTCCCCTGGCGCCTACACCTGCTAGTTAGTGGGTCCCCTGGCGCCTACACCTGCTAGTTAGTGGGTTCCCTGGCGCCTACACCCGCTAGTTAGTGGGTCCCCTGGCGCCTACACCTGCTAGTTAGTGGGTCCCCTGGCGCCTACACCCACTAGTTAGTGGGTCCCCTGGAGCCTACACCTGCTAGTTAGTGGGTCCCCTGGCGCCTACACCTGCTAGTTAGTGGGTCCCCTGGCCGCCTACACCCACTAGTTAGTGGGTCCCCTGGCGCCTACACCTGCTAGTTAGTGGGTCCCCTGGCCGCCTACACCCGCTAGTTAGTGGGTCCCCTGGCGCCTACACCCCCTAGTTAGTGGGTCCCCTGGCCGCCTACACCCGCTAGTTAGTGGGTCCCCTGGCGCCTACACCCCCTAGTTAGTGGGTCCCCTGGCCGCCTACACCCGCTAGTTAGTGGGTCCCCTGGCGCCTACACCCCCTAGTTAGTGGGTCTCCTGGCGCCTACACCTGCTAGTTAGTGGGTCCCCTGGCCGCCTACACCCGCTAGTTAGTGGGTCCCCTGGAGCCTACACCTGCTAGTTAGTGGGTCCCCTGGCGCCTACACCCACTAGTTAGTGGGTCCCCTGGCGCCTACACCTGCTAGTTAGTGGGTCCCCTAGCGCCTACACCTGCTAGTTAGTGGGTCCTCTGGCCGCCTACACCCGCTAGTTAGTGGGTCCCCTGGAGCCTACACCTGCTAGTTAGTGGGTTCCCTGGCGCCTACACGTGCTAGTTAGTGGGTCCCCTGGCGCCTACACCTGCTAGTTAGTGGGTCCTCTGGCCGCCTACACCCGCTAGTTAGTGGGTCCCCTGGAGCCTACACCTGCTAGTTAGTGGGTTCCCTGGCGCCTACACCTGCTAGTTAGTGGGTCCCCTGGCGCCTACACCTGCTAGTTAGTGGGTCCCCTGGCCGCCTACACCCGCTAGTTAGTGGGTCCCCTGGAGCCTACACCTGCTAGTTAGTGGGTCCCCTGGCGCCTACACCCACTAGTTAGTGGGTCCCCTGGCGCCTACACCTGCTAGTTAGTGGGTCCCCTAACGCCTACACCTGCTAGTTAGTGGGTCCTCTGGCCGCCTACACCCACTAGTTAGTGGCTCCCCTGGCGCCTACACCTGCTAGTTAGTGGGTCCCCTGGCCGCCTACACCCGCTAGTTAGTGGGTCCCCTGGCCGCCTACACCCGCTAGTTAGTGGGTCCCCTGGCCGCCTACACCCGCTAGTTTAGTGGGTCCCCTGGCCGCCTACACCCGCTAGTTAGTGGGTCCCCTGGCCGCCTACACCCGCTAGTTAGTGGGTCCCCTGGCGCCTACACCCACTAGTTAGTGGGTCCCCTGGCGCCTACACCCGCTAGTTAGTGGGTCCCCTGGCGCCTACACCCGCTAGTTAGTGGGTCCCCTGGCCGCCTACACCTGCTAGTTAGTGGGTCCCCCTGGCCGCCTACACCCACTAGTTAGTGGGTCCCCTGGCCGCCTACACCCACTAGTTAGTGGGTCCCCTGGCGCCTACACCTGCTAGTTAGTGGGTCCCCTGGCCGCCTACACCCGCTAGTTAGTGGGTCCCCTGGCGCCTACACCCCCTAGTTAGTGGGTCCCCTGGCCGCCTACACCCGCTAGTTAGTGGGTCCCCTGGCGCCTACACCCCCTAGTTAGTGGGTCCCCTGGCCGCCTACACCCGCTAGTTAGTGGGTCCCCTGGCGCCTACACCCCCTAGTTAGTGGGTCTCCTGGCGCCTACACCTGCTAGTTAGTGGGTCCCCTGGCCGCCTACACCCGCTAGTTAGTGGGTCCCCTGGAGCCTACACCTGCTAGTTAGTGGGTCCCCTGGCGCCTACACCCACTAGTTAGTGGGTCCCCTGGCGCCTACACCTGCTAGTTAGTGGGTCCCCTAGCGCCTACACCTGCTAGTTAGTGGGTCCTCTGGCCGCCTACACCCGCTAGTTAGTGGGTCCCCTGGAGCCTACACCTGCTAGTTAGTGGGTTCCCTGGCGCCTACACGTGCTAGTTAGTGGGTCCCCTGGCGCCTACACCTGCTAGTTAGTGGGTCCTCTGGCCGCCTACACCCGCTAGTTAGTGGGTCCCCTGGAGCCTACACCTGCTAGTTAGTGGGTTCCCTGGCGCCTACACCTGCTAGTTAGTGGGTCCCCTGGCGCCTACACCTGCTAGTTAGTGGGTCCTCTGGCCGCCTACACCCGCTAGTTAGTGGGTCCCCTGGAGCCTACACCTGCTAGTTAGTGGGTCCCCTGGCGCCTACACCCACTAGTTAGTGGGTCCCCTGGCGCCTACACCTGCTAGTTAGTGGGTCCCCTAGCGCCTACACCTGCTAGTTAGTGGGTCCTCTGGCCGCCTACACCCACTAGTTAGTGGCTCCCCTGGCGCCTACACCTGCTAGTTAGTGGGTCCCCTGGCCGCCTACACCCGCTAGTTAGTGGGTCCCCTGGCCGCCTACACCCGCTAGTTAGTGGGTCCCCTGGCCGCCTACACCCGCTAGTTTAGTGGGTCCCCTGGCCGCCTACACCCGCTAGTTAGTGGGTCCCCTGGCCGCCTACACCCGCTAGTTAGTGGGTCCCCTGGCGCCTACACCCACTAGTTAGTGGGTCCCCTGGCGCCTACACCCGCTAGTTAGTGGGTCCCCTGGCGCCTACACCCGCTAGTTAGTGGGTCCCCTGGCCGCCTACACCTGCTAGTTAGTGGGTCCCCCTGGCCGCCTACACCCACTAGTTAGTGGGTCCCCTGGCCGCCTACACCCACTAGTTAAAATATCACCTTCCCTCGCTTCTCCTCCCCCCCCCCGCCCCTCCTCTTCTTCCCCCCCCCCACCCGCCGCACATCACCTCCACCTGCACAGATAATGGTCCACTACACACCAGCAGGCGTGGTAGGACTTTGGGGAAGACAGCAGCGCAAATTACCGAGGATTTGAGAACAAAATCTATTTAGCAATATTAATTGTTGCTATTATACTACAAGCTGAGGTACCCGGCGGTGTCCGGGGTAATCTGTCTCTGCCCCCTGGATCCATATTACTCACGTCTTCTTTGCCATTTGTGTAATATATAAACACTTCTGAATACCACTTTATAAATGATTATTTACGTCCTAGTGGTGCGGCTGTACGTGGTGGAGGTGGTGGCACTGGTGGCTTCCCTGCCCAGCCTCACGGGTGCCATAGTCTCCCTCCTGGGTGCCGCGCTCTCGGCGCGGGCCGTCTGTCCGCCCAAGGTTGGTGCTGCCATCTATCTTACTTCGTGTTTACCACCGCACATGTCCCAGCCCAAATATCTCGCCCTCCATCATATAATTATCCACATTACTCGAATCTCAACGATGCCCCCAGCACCCCATGTCTTGCCTGTTCTTAGCCATTTATAGTAAAGATATTTATGTTTTTTGTTATTAACTGTAACTTGTCGACCTTTGCCACTCACCTATCACTCATCCTCGTAATGCTTGTCACTTTATTTATCTATTATATTCACATTTCTGTATCTAGTTTTAGACGGGTTTTTTATAACTGTCTTAAACATCATTCGATCTTGACTTCATACATGTTTCTCGACAGCAGAAGCCACAGGCACCATACGTGCTGTACCTGCCACGCTGGGGGGAGAGTACTTACGGCAGTGACCAACACACCATCGTCCAATCACAAGCCAGGACTCCCGTGACGTCACAGCCATCACCCCGACCCTCAGCCAATCAGTGTGCAGGGAGGACCAGCTCGCCTCCACCCGCATATAATCAGATTGCCGAGGAATCATTTGCTTAGTGCGGGTCATCTCAGCGTGGATTACAGACACGTTGTCCGGCAATCATTACCTTAATCCTTAATAATAGGCTTTACATGGAGCGTAGTTTTACCTTCAGAGAGCATTGAAGAGTTTGTAAGCAATAAGCCAAAATGTGCTTATTGACTATCTCCGACATACGTAATAGGCTGCGGCTAGAACTGTACAGACAACGTCAGCGATGTCTTACTAGATCATTGGCTCTGGTAAGACAAGCTTAAACAAATTAAGGCAAATATTTTAAACGATCCTGCTTGTGCAGGGCCCTTTGAGAGGGTTGTTCTCGGTAGATTGATGGTGTCAATCAAAAGTTCTCGCTCCTAACTGGCATGACTTTCTTATTGGTAGAGGCCACCGCCAACTGAGCCCCACCAGTAATTGAGCCCCACCGCCAACTGAGCCCCACCAGTAATTGAGCCCCACCGCCAACTGAGCCCCACCAGTAATTGAGCCCCACCGCCAACTGAGCCCCACCAGTAATTGAGCCCCACCGCCAACTGAGCCCCACCAGTAATTGAGCCCCACCGCCAACTGAGCCCCACCAGTAATTGAGCCCCACCGCCAACTGAGCCCCACCAGTAATTGAGCCCCACCGCCAACTGAGCCCCACCAGTAATTGAGCCCCACCGCCAACTGAGCCCCACCAGTAATTGAGCCCCACCGCCAACTGAGCCCCACCAGTAATTGAGCCCCACCGCCAACTGAGCCCCACCAGTAATTGAGCCCCACCGCCAACTGAGCCCCACCAGTAATTGAGCCCCACCGCCAACTGAGCCCCACCAGTAATTGAGCCCCACCGCCAACTGAGCCCCACCAGTAATTGAGCCCCACCGCCAACTGAGCCCCACCAGTAATTGAGCCCCACCGCCAACTGAGCCCCACCAGTAATTGAGCCCCACCGCCAACTGAGCCCCACCAGTAATTGAGCCCCACCGCCAACTGAGCCCCACCAGTAATTGAGCCCCACCGCCAACTGAGCCCTACCAGTAATTGAGCCCCACCGCCAATTGAGCCCCACCAGTAATTGAGCCCCACCGCCAATTGAGCCCCACCGCCAACTAAGCCCACTCTGGCATCCATATAGTTATGTTGCTACTCTTTGTCTCCGCGCTTTCTAACAATACTAATTTCTCACGCTTAATACCATACCTGCAAAATATATAAATAAACCATTCCCGTTAATCCTTAATTTTATAACTAAACAATACCTAAAATTAATCGAATGTGACCACCAGGGAATATTACCTGTCCACAGACCAGTAACGCTGACAGACGCTGCCAGCGAGTTGAACCTTACTAGTGACAGGAGAGATTGATTGATTGATTGATATAGATTAAGCCATCCAAGAAGTGGCACGGACAAGAATAGTCAGTAAGTCAGGAGAATAGTGATCAATCGTTCTATGGGCTGTCACTGATATTATAGACTGTGGGTTGGTTGGTGTTGTCTTCGTTGATCCTTCTCTCCGGACAACCCAACCCACAACTCGGTAGAGTGCTTATACTAGGAGATCACCCTTGGCGCTTCTGGCTCTTGGAGAGGGGCTCAACGTCACACGTTTAGGGGATGCGGCTCCAACATTTAGCCTCGTTGTCACGTGCACACACCCACTCGAGCCGCTGTGACTCCCCACTCTCTCCCTAGGTGATATGATCTCCTCAATCCCCTTTTTGACTTATTAGTATTACCTTTTACCCTGTCCACGGCAGTGGTCCTTGGTTCTTTCTCTCTCTCTCTCTCCTTCTTTACTACCTCCTGGGAAGCCTCACTAGGACGAGGGCAAACACCAGCAAATTGGGATACATTTACTGGACAAAGCACATACACGATACATACACACATATAATAATAATGAATCCTATACTCTATAATATCACAATCAGGTTGCACTCCAACACCATCAGAACTCTATTATCAGCTTATCAAGTGGTATCCTATCTCCTGGTTCACCACCTGATACCATTAACCTCCTCAAGTTGGTCAAGCCTACATACACTGTTGCACCATCAGAAGATAATATATATATAGAAAATCAGCATTTGAATGCAATCACATATATCAGTATAAATGTTCATTGATACACAACAATGATCCATCAATCATTGTCAGTCCTGGAACGCATACATCCGTAGGTAATCCAGCCTACGACTGTAACTCTAAACTTCAGTATAAAACACTCCTTGACATAAGAATGCAAACAGTCACTCACCTCTCACTGCGTCTTGCACGCTAATGACAACCAAACACTATCAACTCCCTACTAGTAATCCACCAGAACTTCCCCTTCCACCTCTGGAAGTTCACTACCCTAATATCCTTAGGTTCTTCCGGGCTTCACTACCAGGATCCTCTGCAGCTCCTCCAGGCTGCTATCATGAAGTTTCCTTGTGCAACTACGGTGCTTCACCCTTCTGTTATGTTCCTCCACAGCTCTCTTGGCTGCTACACCACCTCTACAGAAGCACGTGACACTCCTCTTCACTGCTGCTTCTCCTCACAGCTCGAGGTCCTCTGCTCCACTACCTTGGAGTCTCATCAGCTACTTCATCTGCTGGCTTCGAAGTTCTCAGCAACTTCTTCCCCAAAGACAAACCTGCAACCCATCGACGTTCCAATAAAATGTTTCCCCTTTGACACATAAACAAAAATAACCACACAATATGCTTGCCTCAAACCTCTATCTGTTCTCTACATACAGTGAGAGTGGACTCCCCCGTTTTGGGTGGGTCCATACTCCACCTCGCCTGGCGGCGGTCCTCACTCGCTGGGAGGGTCTTCCTCCATCTGGAGCCAGGCTCCCTCAGTCGTCCGCCAGCGCTCAGAGGGGGCGGACGTCGCTCCGTGTTCCTCCCTCTTCACTCTCCTATTTCAGGCCTTCTGCCTTATTAAAACATGTCTAACCTATAAATAAACATTGCTACTGTCGCTGGGCACACGACCAACTACAAGTGATCACTATGAACTGGCGTATATCGTGCTTACCACAGATTAATTGGTCGAGGGCGCTTTCCCTCTGACGGCGTCTGGTCAGGGCGCTCCCACGGCCCACAATAATGTCTCTGGCCGGCTTGATACTCTCTTCTTCGACCAGGACTTGAGACCACAACGTTCCCAGCTCGGTTCCACAGCTGGCACGTCTGCACACTCCTCTTCTCTCAGAGATATATCACTAGGGGTTCCCTTCTGACGGGAGCTCAACGGAGCGCGGCTACCCCCTGCGATGTCTGGCACTCAAGTGAGGGCAAAGTCCTCCGGAAGCGAGCCTCAAGCCTCCAGCAAAATGTCCACATCTCCTTGCCAGTCATTTATCTGTTTTCTTCTTCATTGCCCATAATCTCAAACTGTTATACATATCCAAGCAACTATTTTACATATGCGTTATCACCTCAATATTTGCTAGACCTTCTAGTTAGGTCAGGCTTGCTGAATAACTCTCAAGGAGGGAGACTCGTTTCTCCTGCAGGCTGAGATCATAACACTGAATACTGTATACCTCTTCACTAAATACTGTACACCTCTTCACTTTCATGAATCAAAGTCTAATTATAGACCTGTTCGTATATGCAATGTGCAGGAGGAATCTCCAGCAATACTCTATATCACAAAATGTTCACGTGTTCGAACGCAATAAATGCTACAAAGGCTCTGTGGTTATACACACGAGTATAAATGCTTACACAGACCCATACAGTATAGGCGCTAGCATCTACATCAACCTATATGCTTCGCTATAAGACGCTTGTTCAAAACTGGAGCTCAGTGTACTATACATTTTGCAATATTATTCAATTATAAGAAGGACGCCAAACCGTGACGACTGATGGGAACCATTGTATACAGAATGGTATACAATGTATACATTGTATACATTGTATACCCTATGTTGACCAGACCACACACTAGAAAGTGAAGAGACGACGACGTTTAGGTCCGTCCTGGACCATTCTCAAGTATATTTCAGCCATTGTGACTCATCATCAGTATATACCCTATACATTATGTTAGGGGAATATATACCTATCATATCACAGCTATATTATGTTGGCTTTATCCCTCAGTCTGTTGAGAAACTACAGTTTAGTAGGTATGGCCGACTTGTCACCTTATCCTTCATGCATTGACATTTATGTTGTATTTGTCACCTTATCCTTCATGCATTGACATTTATGTTGTATTTGTCACCTTATCCTTCACGCATTGACATGCTGTATTTGTCACCTTACCCTTCATGTATTTACATTATATGCCCAAGATATGCAACAGAACCTTTCTAGCTTCACTGCTGTAACCTGTCTTGTACATCCATAACTATTTTGGGGACTTTCGTTTTACTTTACACTTGATAACCGTTTTCGTACACAATGACTTTTGTAAACAGATCCAATTTTTGTTTTGTTTTGGGAGTAGATTTTAGTATCTGAACAATATTCTAATACATTCCTCTTGTATTTTGTCACCTGAGTATTAATTACACATCTTTAAGCAGTTTATTAGCTTCGAACACTACGAAGTTGTTTTATAACTTCAGATTGTGAAATTTTGAAGCTCTTGAAACGGGCTTAAGGGCTGTTAAAACGGGCTTAAGGGCTCTTAAAACGGGCTTAAGGGCTCTTAAAACGGGCGTAAGGGCTCTTAAAACGGGCGTAAGGGCTCTTAAAACGGGCGTAAGGGCTCTTAAAACGGCCTTAAGGGCTCTTAAAACGGCCTTAAGGGCTCTTAAAACGGGCTTAACGGGTAAACAAAGCCGCTATGATTTAGGGACGATGTACAGGTTTCGTAGATGGTCACGCTAAAGCATAAATCCACTGGGGGCCAGATTCACGAAACAGTTACGCAAGTACTTACGAATGTGTTCATCTTTCCTCAATCTTTGGTTTCATTTATTAAACAGTTTACGAGCATGAAAACTTCCCATTCAATTGTTGTTATTGTTATAAACAGCCTCCTGGTGCGTCGGAGCTTATTAACTGTTTGTAAACAAAGCCGAAAAAGATTGAGAAAAGATGTACAGGTTCGTAAGTGCTTGCGTAACTGCTTCGTGAAATCCGGGTCCATCTGGTCCCGAGTGATATTAAGCACAGGCTAGAATATCCCGCTACACACACGCGCCTTCCCTCGGCGCCTTCTTTTAATAATTACGTAATCAGGGGCAACCATTTCATCAGCTTGTTACTATTATTTTAAAGCATCGGAACTGTAGTTCTTTTTTTTAATATTTGTCATGAAATCTTCAAGATAAACTTTCATACGTGTCAAAAACGTCATTTATGATTGTTTTATCAAACTAAGTCTAATCTAATTTTCGTTTGGAAGGACTTGTCAGGTGTCACTAAATTTCAATATACTGCTGATACTAAATTTAAAAATCAAACTCTGTATGTATGTATGTATGTATGTATGTATGTATGTATGTATGTATGTATGTATGTATTTCACATTTTCTGAACTGTTCAACAAATTATACATCTGGTGTATAAGGCAACATTTACGGAAACGCTTTCATTTGGGGAAATTACATAGGATTTTTTTTGTTATACATTTATTAATTTTTCAAAGCTATTATATTTTCTTTATGGAGTACTTACCACGAAGTAGAAGGACTGACATCACGAACCGAGAAATATTTGAACAAAATCAAAGACTTCCAATATCTATCCCATCAAAACACCTGCTCGCATCTCATATGTTTAGGAATGGAATGAAACAATCAGGTTTACCAGGATTGTATATTGCGACCACATCACCCACTTTCATCCCCAAACACTGTACACACAAGAGTCTATACCTTCTGGCTATCAAAACAGGTCACTGGATCACGAAAGAGGGTGGGAAGGTTGTGGCTCTGAGGGCGGGGATGTACGATAGTGACACGGGCTGGTTCGACTTCATCACACCCTCACAAATACATAAAAAAAAATGAGAATTGTGGAGCTGGCGGGGCCGAGTTGATTCACATTTGTTTTCAGACTATTAAATTCTTGTGAACTGTTGACATATAAAATCTATACACGTATTGAGAGTAGGCAACACAACCTGTACAAGTGTTGAAAGATAGTAACACCGTCATAACTACGTTGCTATGATGATTTAGTACAACTGTGAACAGAAGATCATCACAGGCTAACGAAGCAGCAAAAACCTCATCAATCAACGCCTCAAGCTGACACCATAACATAAGTGA